ATCTTGTATTTTTTGTATAATTTAAATCCGCCTTAGCTTTACCTTTTTTATTATCAACAAAATTATCGGATGAATTATTTTTGTAATTATTACTGTTGCCATTGTTGCTATTGATATTATGATAAATAAATGTTGTATGATCTAAGATTGAGTTTTCATCCTCTATGTTATGACCATGATCATCAATAAAAGCCAAATTTTCGTCCTCTTCATCCTCTTCTATGCCATCACTTTCAGAACAAATGATTGCTGATTCGTGCGAGGGTTTTATAGCATAATTGTTATCATCTAACCAATATGATTTCTTATTCCTTCCTATATTACTATTATTATTTTTGTTTTTATTTTTACAAGTCTTTTGTGTTGATACCCATTTTCGTAAGCGACTTTTTTTAAAAAAAAGCTATTAAAAAAAATTTAGGAGAAGATATGTATATATATATATATATATCAATAAAAGCTTTATTTACTTACGTAACAAATGGAACAACCATGTAATATCTACTGCTACCATATTTTACACAACCACCACCACAATTAAAGGGTGATTCTTTATTACGGTTTTTTGACCAAGTGGGAAGATCTGAAAGATTATGCCATTCTATTTTCTAAAAAAAATAATTTTTTTAATAAAAAAATATTAATATATTATATATATATGATAAATGTTGTTTTTATTGTTTGAACAATAACAATAATGGAATCTAATCAATAACCTACGCTGATTTCTTTGCGCGTTTGTGGACAAAATTCGGTAGCTTCTAGTACGCCAACCACTATATACAATCTAATTCTTTGACCACGAATTGTTATTTCCACAAAATCTTTTTCTTTGATAAGTGGTGTGATATCATACCCAGTCTCTTCGAATACCTATAAAAAAAAAATCATTTATAGTTTATTTTTTTTCGTTTTTTCAAAAATAAACAATAATGTGTATCGGTAATGTATTTGATTGACGTACCTCTCTGGCAGCGCAGATTGAATCAAGTTCGTCTTTATTTATTTTACCTTTTGGAAAACCCCAACCTGATCGTGAAGACCAACCTTTTACCAATAATACTTTATCCATTGTAGAATTTAACATTATTGCGCCACAAACTGGAACTCTAATCTTGTACTTCATGAAATCTCCAAACGCCTTTTCATGCTCGTTCCTCCATTTGAAAAGCAACGGACAATGATCAAAAAGTGTTAAACAGAGTTAAGTTGAAAAATACAATTATAACGGTATGATTATTGCTATTATTATTATTATTATTGCAGAAAAAAAATAAAAAGGATATATCTTGCAGAAAAGACTTTTAATGTGAAGCTGGGTAAACTTGGATTTTGTTCACGAACAAAATCTTCGTAGAACCAATGAGCTTGTTCAATTTGAAAGCAAATACGTTCTATGGAAGA